TGTTCGAGAATATACTTGAGTGCGTAAATATTCCGAGAATATTTCAAGTCCGTCAACAATTCTTTTATTTGGTCATCCGCTGACATAAGCCCTTGTTCTATTAATTGAAGTATAATTTTCGGAAAACTGCCCTGAGTTGAAGATGTCATTGAAGGAGCACTCGGAGCACTCGCTGTGGAGAAGATGCCTTGATTTACAGTGTTGTACGGTGTTGACGTAGAAGATGTCATCGAGGAAACACTGGGAGCACTTGCTGTGGGAAAGGTGTCTGCTACATAGCTGGTTGTTGAGCCAGAACTCGTCGAGTCGGTCGTAAAGGGAATCGAGCCATCGGGTTTCTACAAAGTAATAAGTAATAACTAATAAATGAGCAAGTAGAGTATCTTTGCATATATGCGCGCTTGCTTTCCTACACTATACCTTATAGGCCATGGTGCAAAGTAGTCACTTTTTCTCACTCACTAACGCTTGATGGTTAATCAAATATGTCTGTCGACGATCTCTATTGTTTATAATTGGCTAAAATTCGCTGCGTTTTATGAGATTGCATGCATGGCATGGCACTGCATGGTGTAACATGTTCTATTGATAAATTCCGTATCCCGGCCATTACTTGCGGTAAGAAACATGGATGGTATTGTTATTGCTTGTTTATTCAACTGTCTGATGAATCACAAATATTCGATCACTTCTTATGAACACTTTCTGCAATCAGGTGGCGAATATATATTCTTAAAAGTATACTGTAAATACGATCCATGATATATCGATTTTTCAAGCCGCTGACACAATATTAAAATCGTATTTAAACTTTTGATAGTCGTTATATACGACAATCGTAAATTGCTGATGTACCCTTTAATTAAAATGAGCTTTAAACGGTACTCTTGGGCGGGTGTATAAGTTCGCCAATTTTTTATTACTGATATGAATAGAAGTTCAGTATTTACAGTTTATAATTTACCCTTCGAAAATTTTAATTCACATGATCTAATGGCGGTTACTCAAAAGTTGTAAATGGATTAATCTTGACAACTCAACTCAAGACCTCCAGAAACGTCAAACCCAACATTCAAGTCGCATTCTCTTCCGTCAGAATAAGTTAACAATGTCTGTGTATATTTTAGTTTTAGCGAACGAAGAAGCTTTTTAACCTCAAAAAGTTACAAACTTTGCTAGATAACTGAATACAATGGAGGAGTAGTCGTTGCAATGACTGGTGAGAATTGTATGGCCATAGCATCCGATAAACGCTTCGGTGCCCAATTTGCATCATTCTCGCATAGTCTTATGTTGGTCTGCACGCACGCTATATGCTTTTTTGGTTGACTTACAAACGCATGGTTTTGCTATGGAAGTGGAGTTATTAATTCTATTAACATGAAGGGCAGAAAAACGCTGATCAATGATCAGACTTTCAGAACGTTGTCTTGTCGCCGACTTTGCCTGAACCGTGGCATATGGGCCCTGATCTATCAAGATGGCGGTTAACGATATGATTACACAAAATGATTTTTTTTCATGTACATGTTCTCAGCAGCCCCTCTACTCATCTTGGTAGTCTTTACCTCAAGTACAATTGAGTAATACAAGGGCATCAGCCCAGACTTCGAAATTCAACCCCCAAATATTTGTGCAGATCATTTGTTACAATACGTCTCATACCAATTTGGGGTTATCCTGAGAGGGTCATTGCTGTCAAAAAACCCCCCCAAATCTTTGCATCCAATCATGCGATGCGATAACCGCCATTTTGATAGATCAGAGCCCATATGTTTACAACGTTAATTGAACTATTTTATAATTTTTCGAGGCACTCTCGTAGAATAAATAAAGGGTGGTGCAAGCTAGTGATAAAAATAATGAGTATCTAATTCTCAATGTAGTTTCGCAATGCAATGTCAGGACCAAAATGAGACACAAATTTGTGAACGTGCTATTTAAATTGTCGAATGGACAAGAGTTATTGACAACATTAAATTATAGCAAATGCGCATTCAGTGATACGTATATTAATATTCATTGTTAATTCAGAATGACAAGCGCATTAAAGAGAATAACGGTAATTTATTATAAATAGACATACTGTAGAACATCTCTTATTATCAAATAATCTTTTCTTAGGTTCCAAGAAAGGAGAAAAGTCTTGATCAAGTATCACAGTGATAAATTATCAACAGAGTAGTTGATTAAGAAAAATTAATGGATTATTTTGCCCAAATCTCCTTGATCAGCATATTTACCATATACAGTATGGAAGTGATTTTTCGTACCTGAAATACACTGTATTACATTATTATGTAACCGAGAATCAAAGTTTAATGTTCAGATTGTTCTGAATTAAACCAATTTTAATTGCAGTTTTGATAAACTCTGTGTACATTCGTTACGAGATTATCGCATAATCTATGCGCAACGTTTGAGCGGATAGTTTTTGCTTTAAACACAATAATTACACGATTATTGCAATCAAACTTTTCTAATGTATAGCGGTTGAATCCAACGCTGCATACACACGTCATTCACAGAATAGTTCTTGTCGCATACCGCCTGATTATTTGTTCTTGACATCTCTCCGTTTTAGCAAATAAGACTATCTTCAATCCAGCTATTTATTTGTAATAAATAATATACAATTACTTGCCATTATTCTCTAATTACTCGTGTCTCAATCAAAATTGCAGATATCAACCCCATTAATCGATTGTTGTGCGTTATATCAAAAAGATTTAGAAATGCCAATAAACTATAACTAAATGCTTTTTAATGCTTATAATAGCTGGCAGTTGAAAAGGTTTGGATTATCGTTAAAAGTCTGCAATAGTTTATCAATATTTTTTTTCCTCCAAAACCCAGTTTCCTATCAACTCACTAAGTCTGTTCGAGTATTTGTTACCGTTTACATTTTCCAAGTATGTTTGGTCGATTACATATTCTTTAAGTAACAACTCCAGTGCGTCCAGGCGTTGCTCTAATGTAGGTTCCCGAAATGATGTGTTTGATGAAGTTGGTAAGTCTGACAACGATGAAGTCATTAGTGATACTGAAGACTGTATTGTCGGAAATGATTCACGAAGCTGCGAACGCGTTTTTCGAACAAAACAGCAACAGTATGATTGGACGCAACCCCACGGATTTAGAGACTTACTGCCTGAAGAATATAGAAGAAAGGACCGATTAACTTTGATTAAAATAATAATTGAGAATAATGAGGTTTATATCAACACATTACCAAATAAAAAAACATAAAGTCCTATGGCCCCGCTCCATGCACCACCAAGCAAAGCAAGTGCGTTAAGAAGCTAAATAAGCGCGCATAAAGTCAAATGACATTTTTTATAATCACATAGTAGTATAAATTTATCAATCAAATATTACCGTGTACGTCCTACGCGTTCGATGAACGACATATATGTAAGAATGATGCTTAGCGTAGTAATAATGATTAGATAAACTGTTTTTTTGTCAATTGCTCACCTTTTCTCTGTTTCGGTTTTGACCAAAAGAGTTCTGGGCCTTATAAATATGGTTGCATATAAACTAGGTGATATAATTGGAGCTATTGGCCCACTTTCTATAATTTCAAATATATTAGATAATGCAGAAAAAATGTACGTTTATATTTATGCGCTACTCACCGAATTCCGTAGTTAAAAGATATTCAGAAATAGTTCCCGGTGGGTAGCCAATGTTGTCGAGTATATTGGGTTTAATTATCTCTCTCACACTTCGAGTGTAAAACATGAAATGATTTTGGCGATAAAAAATTTGGTAGCTTGACTGCATCGTTACATCAACAAGTTGTTGGTTAAATTGACCACCTGATTTGTAATCTCTAAATAGGTTTTGCAGTGTTTCTTAATAGAAATTCAACTTTTTAGTACTTTAAGCTTACTAGCAAACTAACGGATAACTGGCCAAGATAATAAAGCCGATACTATGCAAACGCCCTACATATGCTATAGCCTTTGTAGTTATTACCATTGTCTATTAAGTTAATATCTGCCGAAGTTACAAAAGCTTGACTCGAATTGAACGTGTCGTCAGTTATATTTATCACAAACTGTACATATATTGGATCTTCCAATTCCAGATATGATGGAGACGTCATCCGAAATTGGCGAGGGTCAAAGATTTTCGAAAATTCTAACATCGTTAAATTGAAGCTGCACTTTTCGGAATGATTGTCTTAGTGATAAAAGCAGATAATTAGTTAACACTCCAGATTAATCACGGTAGTAAAATAACAAGAAAATTGCATTATATAATATTAATATGTAGTCAACTATTAAAATTGTGAACTTACCATGATAAATAAAATAGCAGTCTACGGTACAGTTGTATGTAGATCTAATACTAATAATAACCCATGGAAATGGCAGACTGGATTTTTCTTCGTATTTTGTATTTATAACATGGCTATTACTATCAATAATAATATCTAGTATAAGATACTTGCATATGCAAGCCACAAGCCAAGCATAATCATCATAGTAAAAGCACGGCATTTCGACATCAGCCTTGGTTCGGTTTTGCGATTTCTACCGAGTATTAGCATATTGATATGACAATATTATAATAATAACTTGCGGAGGCAGAGATAAATAAAGCACAAAAAAGTAGTTTTTGGGTCAATTATAAGTTCTAAAGATATGTTATCATTAAGTTTGGATTCACAAAGTGACAAGCGAAAATGCAAAAGCTTAATTTTGAAGGGGTTTTAAGTACTCTCTGCTTTTTTGATGTTTGCAATGATATGGGAAAAGTGAACAAATAAGTATAATGCTGATCACTATTATTTTTATCTGTATGAATGGACCAACTAAAGTTCACCAGGAGACATCCATAGATGACTGAATGCACGGACGTGTATGGAGTATTTATTAGAAACGAAGAGTTAACAAAGTTGGAATTATTGTGTGTAGGACAAAATACAAATCTAATTTCAGTTTGGTTGTTTGGCCAATGTGCAACCTATTTCGATAATCTTTGTCACTCAAACTGATCTATTTTTTTAAAATGAAACATCAAAATTTTTTGGGGTTAGTATTTAGAGTAACGTTTGTTAATAGAAGAGTATATTTTGGGTTTCAGAGATGCTAAAAAAGGACATTTTAATTTGATTTCGTTTTCCTTGCGTATTTGTGTTTTTGCCAAAATTAGACCACCCATTGTTGTATGACTCACATTCATGGATTTCCTAATTTGTAGTAAAGGTTATAAATAGTACTCTCATAAGTTTTTTGCTTATCAGTGGCCATAAATAGCGCATAAGAAATAAAATTAGACTAGTGTAACAAATTGATAAGCCTACAATAGAAAAGTCTTACTGAAAAAAAGTGTATAAATTGTGTGATACAATATTCACAATAAGATTTATTTTACCGCTTATTTGTTACAATAGTTTCTCAACCAAAGAATTACAGCCATCGTGAGCAGTGACTCACGATGCGATAATGACATACGAGGCAGGGCATTATTCAGCATATGTTCTTGGTGCCGTTGTATGTATATGTCAATGTATGCTTTCTGTAATACGCAACGTCAGGTGAGTCGTCGTAAATACGAGTTTCGAGTACATATTGTATAAACAGAGTGAAATACATTGCTTACATTTTTTCGTCCGAAGCAGCTGGCGCGCAAGATGGCAATAACATGACTTAGGCACAGTGACCTCTAACCCAGAAAAAGGTACCACTGTCGAAATTGACGCTCCCGGCCGACCAAGTAGATATCAATCATATCTACGAGAAAGCTGTTTAACTGCTGAGCAAACCTCGCGTCAAAGAAAAAGGAAACGTGATGCTTCCACCACCAAGCGGGAAGACTACTTTCTATCGTGCATTACACGTTGTGCTCGCATGGATGTTCTATGCTGGATAATCTAGTCCAGCAATAGACGATGATCGTCGGTACAAAGTTACACCTCAGATCTCAGATACTGTACGGTGTACCCAGGTACAAAGTTACACCTCAATCCTTTTCTATTTGCATTATAAATATGTTCCAAGAGTATAAACGATTAATAAAATTTCACTTATCAGCGCCAAATTACCCGTCGACCTTATAAAAAAAGGATGGACAAAAATATACATATATAGTGGTTTGAGATCTGAGGTCTAAGGTTAGGTCTGGGGTCTAAGATCTGAGGTGTAACTTTTGTACCTGGGTACACCGTATCTGAGATCTGAGGTGTAACTTTGTACCTGGGTACACCGTAGGTACACCGTACGAATAATCGTCTATTTCTGGACCGGTGGCACCTATTTATTAACCTTTTTTTGTGGAGCGTTTGCTCAAAGGTACATTCTACATAACATTATTACTGATTTCCGTGAAGACTTATACGATTGTACTTTTCGATCATTATTCATTTGATACAATTGTAAAATTATTACTGGGAGGGAATGAGTGCGCTCGCTCGTCCTTTAAAGTTATAATAAACTTCAAATAATCATAATTGTCATCACTTTAAGATTTCAATTACAATGCGATGGATGTTAACTAATAAATTCCATGACTTAGGTCACTAGATTGTTCTTTTAACCATTTCAATACAATAGTATAGGGAACTTATTTCATCCGGACAAAAAGTGTGCTGTACTTGTACGTATTTTTAATATATGGTGCTCTCCCCGCAAGTAGGTAAGTTAAAGGGGAGGTAGGTGCTCATGAGTTCTTTTGCCAAATGCAGTGAGTGGAAAGATTTCTTTATTGCTTGATAAATTATATATGCCAGAGAATAATGTTGTTTATAATATACAATAAATAGCATGATTCTGTTAATCACCAACAATTCTCGTTTATGCTATTTCACCTTAGGGAGCACACATAATTTTTCTATCCATTACGGCATTCTAAATTGGAACCTTCACCTATCATTAGAACGTGTTGTGACACACATATTTCTTGGCAGCGAAATAATTCGGAGCTATCGTTTCTGTTATAACAAGCGAGAATACGACTGTTTGGAGCAAGAAATATATCAACTGATTCAATGCGAGAAAGCAGACTCAATATTGTGATTTGGGCCAAACCTACAGTTATGGTCAATCCATACGAGCGGCGAATAATACTAAATTCGAGTTAGCAGCTGGATGTAGTCGGTAATTTTTTATGCTGTAAACATTATAATAAATTAATAACCAAGGAAAATATCAGCATGTTCTCCCAAACATAAATTTATGTGTCTACAGCCAAATGCAAATATAAAAAGAGAGAAATTTGAGAAGGGTGATTAAATTTCTTTTGGATGTTTTGTCAGCAGATCAAAAGTAATTATCTGGCGCACATCCAAAAATTAAAACCTACCAACTATAATCCCATATTATCAGATTTGTTTCCCATGAAGCATTATTTATATATTGTAGTAGGATGCAAAAGTGCGCCGGACTATAAAGTGTTTTTTATTACAAGACATTCTTTACGTTATTATACAACACAGTAATTCAACAGAACATGTGCAATGCGAATGTCATCTATGACAAAGCAAGATACAATGGTTTTTATAAACGCATTTCTTTATTCAATATTTGTATACTATTACAAACCCGATTCTACGCGGACAACGGTCATTTACATCTCGTTATACTAACTCTGTGTTGTGTACAGCAATTATTTGAGTGATTTTAAATCCCGTGAAGACGAATGTAGCTTATGGATTAGCTTGGAAAATAACTTTACAAGCACACAGAAGAAAGAATAGACAAAGTCGTACTTTCGAGCTAGACATCGATCGTATTCAAGAGAGGGCGGTGTTTGGTATATAACCATATGATATTACGCAATAAAAAAATACCTCATGCTTTACGTATGTATTCATTGAGAATAAGTAATAGATAGACCGGTGCTCATACGTATTGTCGTACTATGCAGAATCCGCATACATTAACCAAGTGATTATAATTAAATTTATACGCGTGATAATGAGGTACAGTACAACATTCGCTTAGAACAATATTTGCTTTATAATATATTATTATAATTAGGACAAAGATATTGCTCTCATAACCGATCATTTTTATACCAGTTGGCAATGTTGCAATTTTCAAACTACTTTCCATACTATCTAACTTTTCAACAAACCCAATGAAGACGTGCATCATGCTGAATTTAAAATAAAGTAAATGAATAGATTTTAAGTAAGTCGATCAATAAATAATCCATGCTTACACCGCACTGATAACAAATTCTACAGTCATGTTATTTTCAACATGATGTTAACTGCGCATAGTAGAATGTATTCAGCATGGTAGTCGTTATATTTAATGTCTGTCTCATATTGTATTTCTTGAGTTGATGTTTTTATCTACAAATCAATGTTTATATTTATCATACAATTGTGACTGTAATTAACAATACTTATCTATTTGTTTGGAGGTACTTGGAATATGGGGATTGTTGACTAATATAAATCGTTTATTTGTTAATATTCCCAATATTATACAGTATGCTGAACTATTGTATTGACAATAAAACACTTTGCTAGGTCCATAAATATATAAATATCCCTAGATAATCACTATCAAGTTATAAACATTAGTAATCGTACAATTATAACAAACAGTTATTATAAATCACTTACATCTCGCGTTTATTATCTTCAACATGCAAAATGTGCTGTCAAATGACCTAATAATAATAAATGGAAAGTAAATTAGCATATAAAATATATATAAAATTATGCAATCAAAGTCAACACTTACATTTTTTATGCATATAGTAAACCTTTTCAAAAAGTGCCTTTGTATTTCTATAACCATGCAGAGCATTGTTATATTTATTATACCAAGTTACAGCAGTGTTGTACCATCTGATAGGTACACAGTGATTTCCATCGATTAATACGATTTTTATTGTTTATATTCCCTATTGTACAGGACTACCCCTGAATTAGTTGTCACATCCATTGTAGTGCACCTCCTAATGCGTAAGTGATTAGACCTTTGATTTTTTATGTTTCAGTCTGACGTTGCAATATGCTAATAGAATAATGAACAGAACGTAGCATTAATTACATACAAAAATAAGAAACCGACATTGGTAATGTTGACCTTGTCAAATGGATAAAGCAATTTGTTGTTCATCCCGGTACTATCGGTCGGGTCGCATATACTATTGGAATGATTCCGCAAAGAGACAAAAAACTGTTCA